CAAGGCTTGCCTTTGGAAGGCTTGTGCCCTTTGTCTCCTGCTTGCCCGGCAGATTTCCTTTTCTGAGTGATACTTCTCTCACTCAGAGGCCTGGGCAGCGTGTTGCCCCCAAGGGGGCTTTTGGCAGTCCTTTTTGCAACTCAGAGAGCTGTCCAGCTCGCATGCGGCTGCTGCTGTAGAGAGACAAATTAATCCTTTTTCTTTCTTTAAATTTCTTCCAAATTATCCGAGATCCAGGATGGCAAATCACCCAGTTGAGGGACTGAGTCGATAACTGGGTGGTGCCTGGTGGACCAGGGGCGTATCCCAAGAGCTTATCTGACTCAGTCCAATCAACGAGAGGATAAGGTCAACCCATCCTGGATACTCCTCCCCTAACTATGGAGAACAATTCAGCAAGAAATTATTCATGAAGATCAATGTGGGTTTATGCCTAAAAGACAGTTAAAGGACAATATTAGGAAAGTGTTGGACATTTTGGAATATTTGAGGCAACATAATGAAAAACAAGCCACTTTGATCGGAGAAGCAGAGAAAGCCTTTGACAATTTGAATTGGGCTTTCTTGTTCAAGGTTTTGAAAAATACAAATTTTGGACATAGCTTTATAAAATGGGTAAAATCGATTTTACACTTCACAAATAATTGTTAATGGATATCTAACAAAACCCTGTGAAATACAAAAAGAAACAAAACAGCAATGTCCATTGTCTCCTCTCTTCTTTATTTGGGTTCTTGAAATATTCAATACCAGATGAGAGGATTGTGGGATTAATGACTTTAAAATAAATTTATTAAGTTAAAGGTTTTTACAGATGACTTGGTTTTGATTCTGGAAGATCCTTTCATGGGAACTGAAATACTAATGGGAAAATAATGTGGTACATTTCAAGACTAATAAGCAGAAAATGAAAATGTTAACAAAAATAGAAGATCAAACATAATTTATGAATAAAATGGGTGTTAAGGTTGAGAAGAAGGTAAAACAGCTGGGTATCACAATGACAAACGTGAACTGCATGTTATTTCAAAACAAGTATGCTAAGACACAGAATGAAGTTTAAAAAGACATATTAAGACGGGAGAAACTACAACTGTTAATCATCTTAGTGTTTTCCTGCAGGTATCTATACAAACTGCATATTGTAAAATACCACAAGCTATTATTACCCAAATCAATACTTACTTAACAGCAGAATCAGTTGCTTAAAAGAATGAGGATACCTTTATTCAGAGGAAATATTTTATTAGGCACATGTGGGTGATGTCATTATGAGGGGAAAGTCTAGAAAATTCATTGCATGTTTTCAGTTACAGTAAAAGCAACTGATCAACTATCAGTTCTAGCTTCAAGAACACAATGATGTCTTCCATTTACCATTTCATGCTTTGAAATTCAAGACAGCTACTTCTCACTCAAGTGCCCAGCTTCATATACTATTTAATATTTAATGTCACATTAAATATTAATGTAATGTGACCTCTTTGTAATAATGGTGCAAAAATATACCGATTAACATTGCCAAGGCCTTGGATTAATTTCCTGAGCAATCCAAAAAAAAAAAAACTCCAAATAAATAAATAAAACCCAAATCCATTATTCATGTCAAGTTTAAAGATTAGCTTAGCAATTATATGGATTTCTTTAGACTTCTAAGAAAATTCACTTTTAATAGATATTGGAGACTACTGCTATTGAGTTTTCTATACATTTTAACTCCTTTTCTTATAACTGCTCAAATAGCAAAACAAAAATCAGAAAGGGGAAGTCCCTAGTTTCTAACTGTCTAAGAATCTGCAGGCTCCAGTTTCTCAAAAGGTAAAGAGAGTAACTTGTCTGCTTTAACGTGAGCCAACCTTCATATAGTCATGTTTTTGATTTGACACTGCCTTAATGTCAATGGCGATACAAAAGTGAGCTTGACTTTATAACCAGGTGCCCCATGTTGAGTTCCTGCCATTCTTCTCTTACCTATTACTACAGCAGCCAATGAGATGGGATGAACAGAAATGGCGTCAGCGAAGAAAAGGAGTGACAGCAACAAGAGAAAGGTTAGAACACAGACATACACACAAAGCACAATGAATCAAACCAAAAGGAGAAGAGACAAAAGACAAGAAACCCCCTCCCTCAAAAAGATTTCAAGGCACTATTTAAATTCTCTAGGTCAGTTTTCCCTGCCCCGTACTTCTAATTCACAATCGGTATAGGGCCACTACTCAATCAACATGCTCAATGGAATTTATGCATATTTCAAGGTGTTTGGAGGAGACCAGGCAAAGAAAAGCTGGTCTAAGTAGAGAAGCAAAAAAGCTCTTAAGGAAAGGCAAGCGGTGTATGAATTGTACAGTATGGAGCAACCAGGCTGTGTGATCATAGATAAGCACAAACCCTTATCCCTCTCTTGATCTTAGCCTGCAGAATGCCACTGAAGCCAACATCTGAAATAGCTTTGGATCGACAGAAAAGCATAATTCCTTCCGATCATTTTGTTTTGTTTTTTTTATTCTGTTGTTGTATTCATCTCCAGCCTGAATTCAGATAACTAGGAACCAAAAGGGACAACACTGTATAGTTATCAGCTTTCCGATTTCAAGATTGGCTTGGGAGCGTAACATACTTAGCCTTCTTTAGAAGTGAGATGCACTGTGAGATGAGCATCATGTCCATTTGATAAATAAATAAATGAACAAATTTGTCTATTCAAAAAACAAATGTTTGAGGTAAGAATTTACCCATCAAGGATTCAATGTATATTATTGTTTTGTTTTTTCTTAAACTGAAAGAGAATTCTGTTAAGAAAATGTTTAAGTTGTAAGTTCAGCCAGATAAGGTCATAGCCCAAGTATGTAAGTTCCTGACATCTGTAATCGCTATATAAATAATGCTTCAAACAAAATTTAAAAGCATATTTAAAAAGGAAGGTAATATACCCACATTTTGTTGTAATTGGGGTTGTAAAAAAGAGAAATAGTTTTAGAAGAATGCAAGAGGTAATCCAAATTGTGTGGAAAAACCCACACAACAGGGGAAAACTCTGAAGCTGAGTTTTCTCATTCAATGACCAAAAAACTAAGTGACACAGAAATACGTGTCCAATCAATATATAGAATCCACAAATATACGGAAAACACATCCCATTCTCTTCTAGCACTGAAGATGTTACCTAATCAGGTAATGAAATAAATGTCTGCAAGCAAACAACCAAGCTTTAAGCACAAGGACTCCATGTATGTAGAATCTTTCAGCAATCAAAACTATTAGTCTATAATGTGATAAGCTGATCACAAACAAAATACATTTTCTACATAGATTTTAACACCATTCTTTGACTCAGAAAAGGTTTGAATATACAGTATAATTTTATATGATGTCTTTCTTACATAGGGTATAGGGTTAATATTCCAAAGCAATACAGAATGTAAAAGGCAATCCATGACCCATTGGATTTTTTTTTAGAGATATTTCTTTACTTTTCATTTAAAAAATGACCACCAGCAGGCAAAAAAGCAGTGGGAGTGGTAATTACTTTTGACCTCCTACTGGCTTCTCCATTATCCTTCCCTGTAGCAAGCTGGGAGTGAGTGTTTGGAATTGCCAATCGCATGATCACAGCTGACCACTGTGGCACAGCAGCACTAATGCAGTCACAACTTTGCCACACGTTAATGGTGTCCTATGTCCTGGAATTGCCCATAATCTTTCAGTTAGCCCATTTGAGGTACATTGATTCAAAAATTGTTGCCATATGATGCACTGTTTTGCCCAATTGAAGATTATAATTAAATAGACGTGAGTGCTTTAGTGATATATAAATTGATCACTTTTGTTTTGTAGACAACGAGGATAACATGGCTAGCATTTAAGGGTTTTGCAGAATCTTTCACATCTAATCTGTTCCTTACACCTACTTATAAAGGTAATGCTATTTTAATTATTACATTGCTGTTTTATTATGATGTGTAAGTTTTGTAATACAGCCTGCATAATTTGATGAGGGTATACTTACCGTATTTTTCAGAGAAGACGCACCTTTTTCCCTCAAAAAAGAGGCTGAAAATCTGGGTGCGTCTTATACCCTTAATACAGCATTTTTTGTCTCCCGAAACCCTGCCCCCTTCCCCAAAATGGCCATGCATAGCCTTTAGGGAGCTCGTAGAGTGCTCCTGGAGGCTGGGGAGGGCAGAAATGAGCAAAAAATTGGCCTTTTTTGCTCATTTTTGTCCCCCCAGCCCCCAGGAGCACTCTATAAGCCTCCTAAAAGCTATGCATGCCCTTTTTCGAAAAGCAGGCTGTTTTTGGGAGGTCTGCAGAGTGCGAAAACTTTTTTTAAAAATTTGCCTCTTCAAAATCTTGAAAATATCTTCCTTCATAGCTTTTCTCCAGGAACCCAACTCACAACTGAAGCCTGAAATAGATTTCTTTCAGAGCCTGCTAAGAAGACTCTACAGAAAGACTCTACTTATCTCTATACTGAGAATTAGGTTCTATGATTCTTACCCTTTTTTAAATACAAGCTTTGAACTGATGTCATTACTGCCTTATTTCTCAGAGTATGTACAATTGCAGGATATCGCCCTCAATGCATAGGCAAAATACTGACCTCTGATTTCCAAGAAAATTCCACAGTGCCACACAATATTACTATATGCTGACTGTTCACTCTTTGTAAAACTTAAATTATCTTTAAGTCTGCAATATTGATTCTACAACATAATCTGAGCTGCAACTAAGTTCAACAAATAAAGAAATTCTGATTAAATTAAAAAAATACACAAAAGTGTACTTTGCTATGTCTCTATTAAACATAAAGAGTCAATATTTTCGGTCTTCGTTGGAAAAGGTTCATAAGGCCCACACTATGGAAATGTTTTTACAATTTATGAGTGGATTTAAAATATACTTATGTATCTAGTCCTTTTAATATACTCTTTTAGTTTTATTTTGACATGTCTTTAATATTGTTTCTAACATTTCTTTGTAGATCAATCACAGCTGTTAAAGAAATACAGAACATACATTTCTTTCTAAATAAAACCTTTCAAATTGTAATTTTTAAACCATAATTTTCCAAATTCCTCTTTCTTATGCAACTGTAACAAAGTAGTTTTGAAAAACTTAGGTAAAAGAAATAGCACAAGAGCTTCAGGTAATCCCCGGGTTACGAATATTCCCTTAGTGAAAGCTCAAAGTGATACGTGATAAGCGTCCCTTAGCGTTTACGAACAAGTCCTGAAAGTACAAATCTTGTAGGACCATGGCAGCTGTTCATCCTTACGAACAACTGCAGAGGCTCTGTAACATTCGTCCTGCACATTGCCGGTCAAAATGGGAGGTTCGGAGGGGCGCCCCTCCAGAGTTCCATTTCAGCCTGCAACGTGCCAGTGAGGCCGGTGAAGGTCTGAATGGAGCGTCCGAGTGGTGGATGCAACTGAGAGGCTAGAGAGGAGAATGTTTGGTAGATCTTGGCATGGTAAGTGACCAAGTATGGCAGGTTGGGTGGGAGGGAAGCAATTATGGGGCTCCATGAGGTATTTCAGTGAGTCTGGAAGGTCTTTGAAGTGGTCTTAGGCAGGTGGCCTGTTCTATCTCTAGGCCCTCCCCCATGGCCTTCCCCACCATGAAATATCTCATGTGCACTTAATGAGCCTCGCATTCAATTAGCAAATGCATGGCGAAAGGAGGGAGTGATCCCGTTCAAGGTACGAGATTCACTCCTACTAATCCTCGGGTTATGAATGGAACGGGCAGGCTCCATTACATTTGTAACTCAAGGACTACCTGTACTTAGAAAGAAAAAGGTTCAGTTTATGTTCACATGCATTTTGAGAAACTTTAGTAAGCTTATTATTTCTTTCTCTAGATTTGACATAAACAGAATATTAAAGGTAATGAAAAATATTGTATTTAAAGAAGAAAAATATATTATATTCAATGCATAAGAAGAGTTTCAATCAATGCCTATTTTTCATTGTTACGTGCCTGGAAATAACATAAGGTAACACATACCATGAGATAACCAAATGAACACAGCCTGGATGCAACACACAATACACAAGTTCCACATGCACAAAATGTATAGCAACAGCAGCTCAAATGTTGCAAGAAGTGGTATCCGAGTTCAAAAGTAATGCAGGATGAAGACTGACTTACCCAATGTCATCTCTGTAAACCCGGGAGATTAAAACCTCTCCCTTATGATTATAAATGAACAGGCCTCCAATCATGATGAATTCTTAGTCTTCTTTTTCCATGGTGTTTATATCCAATCTGTAATTATAGGAGAGAACTTATGGTTATTATTGAAATTACCAATTGGTTTTTCAGCAAACCAATCTTTCGTTTCCTCATCTACTGTAATGTGCAAGGAACTAATCACAGTTCACAAATCTGCTTGCTACAACAAGCTCCTCTGATCTCTGACAAGTAACAAGTAAGTTAGGAGCATTGCACCAACCCCTATTCTTCTTGGGATTAGGCTTGTGCTGAGCATATCTCCCAAGCATGCCTAACTAGGGATGAAAGAATAATCCAACCTGATTACATTTCCAACAGCTTTTGGAAACCAATATATAACACTTACATTAAAAAACTATTTTGGCAAGAAATACCAGAATATTAAGGGGGGGAGGGGGATGTTCACAGGAGATATGCTAACTTCAACCAATGTACTATTGCATATTAACTGTTCAATTTAGATGTTGCAATCTTTAACTTGTCCAATTTCCAAATCATATTTTGGTATTTCATACAGGTAGTCCTTGACTTATAACCACAATTGAGCCCAACATTTCGGTTAAGTGAGACTTTGTTCAGTGAATTTTTCTACTACCTTTCTTGTTTCAGATGTTAAGTAAATCACTGTAGTTGATAGGTTAGTAACCTGATTCTTACGTGATTCCGCACTGACTCTGCTTGTCAGGTCGCAAAAGGGGATCATATGATCTAGGGACATAGCAACACACATAAATATGAACCAGTTGCCAAGCGTCTGAATTTTGATCACATTTTTCAATGCCGTTGAAACTTTGAACGGTCACTAAACGAACTGCTGTATGTCGAGAACTACCTTTATGCACTCAAACAGAAGTCTGTATTTTGTATTATAATTATTTCAAATTTGACCATGATTCTAAGTATTCCACCTTGCTTCTGTAAAACTTTGGAACTAATACGATGTATCTGAAGGCATTAAAATTATAATGTTTCTGGAGAAAGTCTCAAAATGGAGAAAGTCTCAAAAGATTTCCTCTTTATTTTATTAAAGGATAGATTTGCAGTCTATTAGTGATTATTTCCCTATGGATCATTTTTTTACCAAGACTGCACTTATGAAAACATTTAATATTCAGTCAAGAAGCAATTACCCTGAGCTTTTTTCATCCCATATTTTTAATACTCAATTATTTAATTATAATGCACTGGACACTTCAATTGGTACCAATTAAATATCAAAGATATTTAAACAAGCTTTCTGGGAATCCTTCCCCAGAGACATAGCAACATAACCCAAGGCCAACAATTAGCTTAATAATATAACATTAGGCACAGGCAATCCAAAATGACATTTTGCATCTTGTACATTCCTAAAGTTGAACCTTAGTCTAGTCTACTTGTTTGAATGAAATTTGTTATTTTTCTTCGTCATTCTTTGTCTTCACGTTGTAGGAATCATTTGATTAGAAAGTTAGTCTTTGATAAAGCGTTAACCTATTCCTAGCCAGGATGAGTATAAAGCAATCCTTGTGGGAGTTCAGTTGTGAGGCAGTGCAGCACAAGGCTAGGAAGGTTAGGAAAAGAGGGGTGCATGCATGTGTGCAAGCGCAAGGAGGCCGCAAAACAGCCCTTGGGTTGCAAGAAACCCCTGAGCTGCAGGGCACCCCAAAACCCACACCCCAGCCCACTCTCAGCTTAATTGCCCTCAGCATCCTGCATTCCTGTAACTGCTGGCCACACGAGGCTATCTCCCCCAGTATCGTGCAAGGAAACTGCTGAGCACATCCTGGGGAAGAAAGTCTTGTGCTGTCAGCAACTGCCTCACACAAGGCCCGGCCATGGATGTTTGGTCAGCAGGAGGAGAAAGGAGGCCAGCTAAAGTGTCAGGAATTGTGGAGCACAAGCAATTAAAGAGCCGTGGTGGCACAGTGGTTTGGAATGCAGCATTGGAGGCTAAGTCTGTCCACTGCCAGCAGTTCAATCCTGACCAACTCAAGGGTGATTCAGCCTTCCATCCTTCCGAGGTCCATAAACTGAGGACCCAGATTGTTCTGGGCAAGAAGCTGATTCTGTGAACCACTTAGAGTGCTGTAAAGCACTATGAAGTGGTATACAAGTTTAAGTGCTATTTGCTTTGAATAATTCTCTGAAATTACTCTGGGTCCATGAAGGAAAATCTAAGCCAAATCCAAATTTACCTTTTTCAGAGAAATGAAATAAAAACACCCCTCTAAACTATCAAAAGTTTTTTTCCTCATTATTATTATCGATTGCACTCAAGATGTATCCCACATTATCTCTTCAGGACCAATTCAGTCTGATCAAGCTATTTAAACTCTTTCGAAGGACAGCCATGAAAATCTTGCAGTCTACATTCAATAAAGAGATAGGTCCATAGGACTCTAGACAGGTTGGATCATTTCCCTCTACAGAAAAGATATATAAAAGCCTTCTGTTATTAAAGAAGGAAGGGTCACTATTCTCATAAATCATCATCAGTTAGTTTAATAGTTTGGTAAGAATTTATCTGAAAGCCTTATAAAGAGGAGTCATCCAGTCCTGTTGATTTATTCAATTTTCATATCTGCACTATATCCTATGTTTCATCTTCTTGTTACAGTTTTAAGTACTTCCTTTTTCTGGTTTGCAAATTCCATGATCTACATTTGGTTCATAATGCCATGTAAACTTCCCCTAACCATTTTTCCAGATGTTTTTTCCTATATAGTCAAGAATATCTAACGTTAGAAGTTGAAACATGTTTTTTTCATCCCAAACCATTTTTTCTCTTGTTCTTTTATCAATTGATAAGCCAAACATTTCTGCTGTTTGTCGCCTTTCACAAAATGCTTCTAGTTAATGAATTTATTTATGTGTCATTTACTTCTAGAAGATCTAACGTAGAAACCTTAAATCTTTTCTTTTTATACTGATCACCAAGAGAAGGCTGTGTAACACCTCAAAAATCTGCTTTTCAATGGATTTTGGTCATGTCATCTGGAGACTTCTCAGAGTGTCAGCTCCTGTTCAGAGCAGATTAAAGTTGCAGCCAAGAGGACTTTTCCAGTTACATCTTGTGTACCAGCTATGCTCCTTCCTGGACTGGGAGGTCCCCACACGTTCTAGTTGGATTACTGTAATAAGCTCTAAACGGGTCTGCCCTTGAACACCATCAAAATGCTGCAGCCTGAGCAAAGATGGGGGCACCGTGTTATGTGCCCATGCCCCTGCTGCTTCATCCAGAAGTGATTGGCTTCTGGATGAATGCAAGTTGCTGATTATCACCCTTAAAGCACTTCGTGGCAGAGGACCCAGTTATCTGAGGGACCATGTGCCTCCATTTGTCTCTCCTCATCTGGTTTGATGCAGCAGGGTGTGGCTCATTCATGAAATGTCACCATTTGGGATTCAGAAAGCATGGTTACTGTTGCAATTCCTGCCCTGTGGAATTGCAAAATTTCTGCAGCATTGTTGAAGATCTGGTTGTTTGCCCAAGCTTTGGCAATATATCCTTACTTTAACTGGGCAGCCAAGGTGACTTTTTACATCTTGAGTGATCCCCTTAGAAATATTCATTCTTGGCCCACACATCCTCAGTAGATGGTCTTAACTAACCACTCTTGCTAAAGCTGAAGTTGCATTACAATAAAATTAAAAAAAAACCACCGGGCTGCCGTATTAGTTTTAAGACAGCTTTTTATTCTAAGCAACATCAGCAAACACTTTTCCCCATTCCTTCCGTTTTTTGAGAATACACATTTATTAGAAGAGCTGGCCAACCACTATAGCCACAGAGTTACAGCACTAGAAAATTCTTGATTAAGCAATGGACTGTTTTAATTGCTCTTTTCTATAGAAAGTTACCCAATAGCTAATAGAAATGTCTTTATTTTGCTGAAGTAAGGTAAAAATGAAATCTGACTCAGAAAACATGGCTACTAAGAACTATTTCACATCAAATATAGATTAGTTTTCCAGTAACTAACTGTTCTTAGTCATTCCACAGAAATCAGATTTTTTTTCTTCCTGAAATAAAAATTAGAGCATGCAGAAAGAATTTGATTACATACAGAAAAGAGACCAAAGGCATTGTAATGGCATCAAAATAATTCACTCAGGCTGCACAATCTGCCACGGAAGCCTTCAATCATTAACTCAATTATGGCAATGAATTTCTACTGAAATTCATCTTTCTAGTTTCTGTCCATTGGGCACATAACAGGTTTAAATTACAAAGTAGTAGATTTCAATTGGACAGCAGAAAAACATTTCTAACAGTGCTGTCCAGCAATAAGGTTAATGAGCTAATTTTGTGGCAATCAAACTGGACTCTTTTAATATTAATATTTATTTAATATTAAGCAGCCACTAGAATTCAGGTTTAATTCAGACAATCAATCACTGCTGATATCACAGGGACTATAAAATATTCCCATTTCTGTACTAGTAGAGGTAGTTCTCAATCTTTCATTTAGTGACTGTCCAAAGATACAATGGCACTAGAAAAAGGGACTTATGCCCACTTTTCACACTAATGACCGAGTCATCTGATCACCTTTTGCAACTTTCAAAGTCAATGGGAAAGCCAGTCACTTAACAACTGTCTAACCTAAGAATTGCAATGATTCACTGGACAACTGTGGTAAGATAGATCATAAAATGGGACAAAACCCACTTAACTGTCACAGTTAATAGAAATTCTAGATTCAACTGTGGTGATAAATCAAGGAATATCTGTACACAGATTAATTGGAATCAGCATTGTTGATATATACCCCAAACTATTGAGATGATTTTTCCCTCTGCTTTTATAACAGTATTCCACAAACAAATAACAAGTGAGGGCCAGACTGAAAATTAGACACCCTTACACAAAGGTTTTTTATGCAGTGGTTTAAATGTGAAAGAATGATTCATCATAAGTACTTCTGCATGCTGCTGTTTCAACTCTACCTCCTGCCTGGAGCAATGGCTTTGAATGATTATGCGAAGGAAGCCTGTCCACAAAGATAATAAGCAAAAGCTAATAGGAGACCAAGTAAATTCTGTTTTGC